TAGTCAAGGCTATGGTTTTTCCAGTGGTCACATATGGATGTGAGAGTTGGACTGTGGAGAAAGCTGAGCGCCGAAAAATTGATGCTTTTGAACTGTGGTGTTGGAGAAGACTCTTGAGAGTCCCTTGGACTGCAAGGAGATCCAATCAGTCCATCCTAGAGGAGATTAGTCCTGAATGTTCCGTGGAAGGTCTGATGCTGAAGCTGAAACTTCAATACTTCGCCACCTCATGCGAAGAGCTGACTCATTTCAAAAGACCCTGATGCTGGGAAAGATTGAGGGCACAAGGAGAAGGGGGCAACAGAAGATGAGATAGTTGGATGGCATCACCGACTCAATGGACATGAGTTTGAGTAGACTCCATGAGTTGGTGATGGATAGGGAGGCCTGGCGTGCTGCGATTCATGGAGTCAGACACAACTGAGCGACTGAACTGAACTGAAAGCCTTACAAGGACAACAAACTCTGGAAAATTTTTAAAGAGATGGAAGTACTAGACCACCTTACCTGTATGCAGGTCAAGAAGCAACAACTAGAACCAGACATGGAACAACAGACTGGTTTCAAACTGGGAAAGCAGTACATCAAGGCTGTATATTGTCATCTTGCTTATTTAATTTACATACAGAGTACATCATGTGAAATGCCAGGCTGGATGAATCACAAGCTGTAGTCAAGATTTTGGGGAGAAATATCAACCTCAGATATGCAGATAATATCACTCTAATGGCAGAAAGTGAAGAGGAAATAAAGAGCCTTGTGATGAGAGTGAAAGAGAAGAGTGAAAAAGCTGGCTAGAAACTCAACATTCAAAACCTAAGGTCATGGCAACTGGTCCCATCACTTCAGGGCAAATAGAAGGGGAAAACGTGGAAGCAGTGACATATTTTAGTTTCTTGGGTCCCAGAATCACTGCAGATGGTGACTATCGCCAACTTGCTCCTTGTAAGGAAAGGCATGACAAACCTAGACAGTGTATTAAAAAGCAGAGATATCACCTTGTCAATAAAGGTCTGTATAGCCAAAGCTATGGTTTTTCCATATGGTGGTCATGTATAGCTGTGAAAGTTGAATCATAAAAAAGGTTTAGCACTAAAGAACTTATGTTTTTGTACTGTGGTGCTGGAGAAGACTTTTCAGTGTTCCTTGGACTGCAAGGAGATCAAACCAGTCAATTCTAAAGGAAATCAACCCTGAATATTCATTGGAAGGACTGATGCTGAAGTTCCAGTGCTTTGGCCACCTGATGCAAAGAGCTGACACAGTGGAAAAACCCTGATGCTGGGGAAGATTGAAGGCAAAAGGAGAAGAGGGTGGAAGAGGATGAGATGGTTAGATAGCATCAGCAACTCAATGGACATTAGTTTGAGAAAACTCAGGGAGATAGTGAAGGACAGGGAAGCCTGGTGTGCTGCAGTCTGCAAAGAGTCAGACATGACTTAGTGACTGAACAACAGCAACATGAAAAGGGACATAAGTCAAAGTGTCCAAACCAAAGACTACTCATGTGTAGAATTTCCCCAAACACTCTCTCTTCATCAGCAGTATGCCTGAACTCAAACACCTACCCAATGTCTTTGTTAAAACATAAGAGACAAAGGATCTTCTTTTGTAAGACAGACTATAGGACTTGAGAGCTCTAGCAGCACAAGTCCCAAAACACCTTTATGCCCTTAAACTTCTGGGCTTAAGAAATTTAAATAATAAAAGTAGTATAACCCAAGTTTTACTGATGTGTACCTCAATTTGATGATGGAAATATGCCCAGAGCTGCCTAGGAGTCAAAAATACATTTGAGTGCACACTTGTGAATTTCTTATCATAATAAAGGTATCACGATAACCATATTCTCTAGGTAATCTGCTTATAGAACTCCCTTCCCTTGACTCCCACTAACTGTCCTTAATTGACTCACATAGTTAATTTTTCAACAGTCAGTTTCTCCTCTATGCTCAGAGTCTTAAATGTTAAAGGCAATTTTGTATCTGGCTGCTGAGTCAAATGCAGAAAAGAAAAAGAAAAAAAAAAAAAAAACAAGTACATAGTTAATGAGGAGAGGCCATAGCTAATATGACCTAAAATGACATCACTATTGCAGCCAGACAAACTCTTTCGTGATGGCATTTCCTTCTTTTCTTAACCTTTCAGTCAACAGCAAATTTTATAGTACTTTTTCCATCAGTCTTGAAACCAATCAAACCTTCTTTACACCACAGTTATAATGGTTTAGAGGAACTAAGAAGACACAGGACATCTTGAAAGTATGTCCATCTTTTGCCAAGAGTAGTGTTATGACAGGTTCGAGAATCCCTGCTCATTTAATAAAACAAAAATTAGCCAGAAGGACACACACAGAGGAAAGAAGAAATGCCCATAAAGAATACAATAAATACCAAGGCATTTGGTATAAGTTGTTTAAAAGGATAGAGGTCTTATTAGAATAGTGAAATTTTCTCTCCTCCTTTTCTTCCTGTAACAGATAAAAAGAACGGAGTAGAGAGATCAGATGCCCTGAGAAGCTACACTTGTCTTAATGACCACCACACAAATTCTTAAAGACAACAGTTTTCAACATTTTCACTGCTTAAAACTGCACAGTGAGGCTATGAAGCCTTTACTCTGTGACAAGGCTGAGAAACCCACAGCCGTGCCAATAAATATTCTTTCCCTGCCTTCCCACCATACACATGTCAATTACTTTCCCCATAAGTCCTTTTCCTCACCCATATTCTGCTGGTTATCAGAGGAAGTTGAGCTGATAGAAATCAACTTTGCCCTTTAAACATGCTGTCAGTTCCAGATCAAGGGCTTCGGGACCGGCTTAGCTCAGGAGCATCCGTCACTCCTCACTCCCACCTCTGGGCAGTTAATTAACATACCTAGAAAGGCTTTAAGATTCCTTTTTCTGGGATATTTTTAGGCTTGAGACATTTAAGAATAAGCTAGTCTTTCTCCACATTCACTTCATTCTTCTACCACTTAATTGTTTCTATATCTTTGACCCTTAGCACTTCTGGCTCTTGGATGGATTTCACACAATTCCTTTAAGCGGAAAAATTCCAGTTGGTTCCCCTGTCCTGCCACCAAAATCTGAATTTTCTTCAGATTTGTCCCTGAGGTGACCCTAGAAGAATCCTCAATCTTCAAACTTTTAACCTGTATCTCCTGAGAAGATGCAGAGTAGATCAGCAGACCCAAGACTGATTACTACAGCCACCATTCTATTGAGTACTGATATACAATCATTATATAATTACAGAGCAATTATAATCCAATCTAATGGAAGGGTCACAGGCTTTGGAACCAAAGAGATCTGGTTATAACCAAATTTGGCATGTGAATAACTTTGGAAAAGTTACTTAATTCCCTGCATCTCAATTTTCTTTTCCATATGTTAGAGACACTAATCACTGCTCCATAGCATTACTAGGAGAATTAAACAAAATAATCTTTATAAAGGGCTTAATGCTTAACCTGGAATAGCTAAGATACTCAATAAATATTAAACTATATTTTGATCTGTGTATATCAGACCAAATATAAATTTTATAAATATGTTCATGCATCATCTAAATTCTCATGTTTAGACGAGTGCTTTTGTTCACATGAAACTTCTATCCTGGTGGAATCTAGAGGAACAAACTATCTCACAAGTCAGGCAGAACATAAAAAGGACTTAATAATTCAGCCTTCTCCCAGCTTCTACTCAGTTGTGTTTATGTCAGTCAATGGAAGCAGCATGTGATGAAGAACATGAAGAAAAATGAGTTTCATCACAGCCTTAGTTATGGCATAACAATTGTCTGAAGTATTCACTTTGATCCAAGGATGACCATTGTATGATATGGCCAGAGAGAACTGTACTTTTAATACTCTGATTCAAAGGCAGAGTTTGTAGTCAGCAAGGCAAACAACACAACATATTTTTTTAAATAGATAAAACTGTTTCCCAAAGTCTGGGTGCTCTCATTAAGAAAAATCACCTCGAAAATATCTTAAAAGATAATTAATTCCTCAGCTACCTTATTCATATTTACAAATAAAATAGCATCACCCTCAAACTGCTGCACATTTCCATAGAGATAGCTAAACAGATAATTTCAAAAACCAGAAGAATGTCTTCTAGAAGGTCATCAAGAGCATTATAAAACACGTGATCATCCTTGTCAAAACAAATGTGGAAACGTACTTATTTGGTATGTATTAAGCACAAGTTCTTAAAGCAATGTAACTTGCTGGACAGTTCTTGGGGAGCACTATTGCACTCCCCACTCCCAGAGGCATGAAGACCAATATAATTACAACACAAATCCAGCCAGTTGGTACCCAACCTCCCAAAGTAAATATTATACAGTAAGTTTTCAACTTGCCATCACTTTTACAGGTTACAATCAAGGATACAAAATGATGCTCTGGTGATGTAAAAAGTAATAGATTAGTCACATTTGACAGCAGCTAGGGAACATCATAGAATGCACTTGAGCACCATAAAGCCTCTTCACAATGAAGGTGACATAGAAGACTGAGAAAACATACTGCAAGAGTACCTCACTGCATATTTTTAATTTTTGCCATTTAAAACAATTCAGCATGCAGATATGATTTCAAAATATTACAAACACTCATGTATGAAATTAGCTGAATTTTACCTAATTCTACTGATACTGTCTCCTGACCTTCTTCTGTAAAATACAGGAAAATAAAATCAACAGCAATCTCATATTCCAGTATGATGATATGATTTGCGATAACATGAAGGATTTTTTTTTAAGAAATTTATTCTACTGAACCCATTTTAAATTATAATCCACCACCTGTGTTCCAGGATCTCTTAGTTCCAAAGCACTTTTTACTTGTCTCCACTAAAGTTTTAGTGGTTTCTTTGTATTTGGAGTAGATTAGTCCTTTTTCCTGTGTACCAGATTACCCTAGTCTTTTTACCACCTTAAAAATGAATGTAATTATTTTACCCACAGTGAGTTTACAAATAAAAGCCTTACCCCTAAATATAATATGATTCCATAGAACATAAATCTCCAGAAAAAGCATCGCCGAAGGGCATTAATGAGTTTGGGATTTTTCTTTGAAGCCAGTTCTCTGTCCCATTCTCTGCAAAAGAATAAAAAGTGGGGCCAGTAAGTTGCATGTGCAAATATTTGAATTCTCTATTTCCCTTAACATAGTTTTATTCACACAAGTACATCCACGGAGATTAACCCAAGTGACCAGAGACAAAAACCTCGTGGGGAGCTTCCAACATTTCCACCACTATCTCAGGCAGATATTTGGGTAAATTCAATGCTCCACCATACACCAATTTTCAAGGAGTTGACTTCATGACAAGTCCACATTATATATGTTAAAGAAAGGTTCTGGGATTCTAAAAATCAATGAATATGAGAGGTGGATAAATAAAATACAACTCTTACAAATACACATTACTGTGCTTGGAACAAGGTGAAAAATAAATACTTAATTTTTTCCTTCATGTCTTGATCTTTATCTCTTTGGAACTGTAGTGGATTTTATAAAATTTAACTGTAAAACCAAAAACAAGATTAAAAGTCAGGTGGATTTTTCTGTGGTTTAACATAAGAAAAACTTATTATTTGGACTTTGTTTTTAAATGTAGGAGTATGGAACAAATATCCTCAAATGTCACTTTCAAATAAAAGTCTTTGGAAAATCGGGATAGAATCAAATTCTGTATCTTCTGGTAGAACAGGAATTTAAAAGTATGAAAAATGGTTGGTATTAAATAAATGTTGTTTTTTCTTTAAATACTATACATTCATAACCTAATTATTTTTAAGTTTTGCCATTACTTTCTGTTAATAAAAACCTTCTTTCCAAGTGGATAAAATATATCCCTAAATGTTACCCTTCATCTTACTTTTTATACTGTACAGAGATGAGAAGTTTCACGGAAAGAACTATATATTCTGCATTTCATCAACAGCTATTCTCATCACTGGCTTTCTCTAGTAGTTTAATGGTAGAGAACCTGCCTGCCAAAGTTGGAGACTCGAGTTCAATCCCTAGTTTGGGAATATCCCCTGGGGAAGGAAATAGCAATTCACTCCAGTATTCTTGCCTGGGAAATCCCATGGACAGAGAAGACTGGTGGGTTATAATCCATGGGTTTGCAAGAGTTGGATGCAATTGAACAACAAATTCTCATTACTATCCATCTACCTTTATTAGAGGTGTTCTAAGTTACTCCAAAGGAAGCTCACACATCTGAGATATGAGGGCAGATTCGGCAATCATGGGCATTGTGCATGGACACTGGCTTCCCTGAGAAGCTTACTATCTATCATACCAAAACCTATGCCATCCATCTATCTGCTCACACTCTTTCCACTCTACTCACACACAGTACTAGCCTCCCTTCCATGTCATGCAGTGATTCACATCAGGGTAAGAAGCGAAATATGGAGGTGGACTCTGCATCTTTCAAAGGAAGAATGAGATGAGAAAACCAGGAAGAGAAGTGGTACATGAACCAAAGAAACGGTTTCAAGGTGGGAAGAAGTGGTCAACCCTGAAGTCATGGTAGGAAGATGTCATTATACTTGATATTAAGAGACCTCTGGTGACCATGGTCAACATCATTTTAATAACATGGTAAACATAAAAACCATAATCAGGGAGCTGGGATGTAAAGGAAAGGAGAAGAAGTGGAGAAACCAGGAGAGCAGAGAAACATTGCTGCTAAGTCACTTCAGTCATGTCCGACTCTGTGTGATCCCATAGACGGCAGCTCACCAGGTTCCCCTGTCCCTGGGATTCTCCATGCAAGAACACTGGAGTGGGTTGCCATTTCCTTCTCCAATGTGTGAAAGTGAAAAGTGAAAGTGAAGTCGCTCAGTCGTGTCCGACTCTTAGCGACCCCATGGACTGCAGCCTACCAGGCTCCTCCGTCCATGGGATTTTCCAGGCAAGAACACTGGAGTGAGGTGGAGAAGCATTAGCAATGAAAAAAAATTTTTTTTAATAAAAAAAAGAATGGGGTAGTGATCTGAGGGGGAAAAGAAAGCTGGAGAATTTTTTTTTAGTGGATGGGACTTGTACTACTGGAACCTGAAGGAAGGAATCAGCAGCGAGGGTAGATGCTGTGGTATCCACAGCACCACAATAGACCAAGTAAGCATTCCAAACACCAAGAGCTAAATCACAAGGGAAGAAATTTTATACTTATCAAGTACATAGCTGAGTTATAACCATGAAATGGATGTGTGGTTTGCACACAGGAGGGATGCACAGAGTTCAAATCCAAGGTCACAAACTGAGCCAGATGGACCAATGTACTTCAACCGCAGTGTAACTGCCTGACGGCCTTTGTCACAAATCAGCTTTTGAAATATGAGGCAGGGTCACTTTCCAAAGGTGTAGTGGAAGCAGTGGCTAACTTTATTTTTGGGGGATCCAAAATCACTGCAGATAGTGATTGCAGCCATGAAATTAAAAGACATTTACTCCTTGGAAGGAAAGTTATGACCAACCTAGACAGCATATTAAAAAGCAGAGACATTACTTTGTCAACAAAGGTCCGTCTAATCAAGGCTATGGTTTTTCCAGTGGTCATGTATGGATGTGAGAGTTGGACTATAAAGAAAGCTGAGAACCGAAGAATTGATGCTTTTGAACTGTGGTGTTGGAGAAGACTCTTGAGAGTCCCTTGGACTGCAAGGAGATCCAACCAGTCCATCCTAAAGGAAATCAGTCCTGGGTGTTCACTGGAAGGACTGATGCTGAAGCTGAAACTCCAATATTTTGGCCACCTGATGTGAAGAGCTGACTCATTTGAAAAGATCCTGATGTTAGGAAAGATTGAAGGCGGGAGGGGAAGGAGACGACAGAGGATGAGATGGTTGGATGGCATCACTGACTCAATGGACATGAGTTTGGGTAAACTCCGGGAGTTGGTGATGGACAGGGAGGCCTGGTGTGCTGTGGTTTATGGGGTCGCAAAGAGTCAGACTCGACTGAGCGACTGAACTGAACTGAACTGAATCGAGAGATACAAAGTACCATAAGTGTATGTCACTCTTCCAAAATGTTTGAATAAACTCTAAATAACAACTTTTACTAAAAAAAAAAAAAGAAGAAGAAGAAAAGAAATAAGAGAAGGAAGAAGAAATACCCACAAAAGACAAAAATATTAATAGAGTTTTAGCTGGCACACAGCTGTTGAATTGGAACAAAGTGGGTACATCTGATATGGAGACAATTACACGGAGTTGATATGGAGACAACGAAAACTGAGGAGAAAAAAGTGTTAGAGCTGATAATACTACAAATTCAGGTGTATGTCCTCTATTCAGCCACAGATAAAAATAAATCTGGAGTAAACATGTTTTCAGTAGCCTAGTTCTACTGTGATTAATCTTTCATTCAGAATCCATTTAAAACTTAGATATTCACTATCTACTAGATTATTTTGAACTTGTCGATATACCTACAATGTATTATATTTATATATTTTATCCCTGCAGCAGTATTACAGGTTTTTGCATAACGTCAGCCATTTCACATTCAATCATCATTTATTCATTCAACAAATATTTACTGAGCACCTACTACAATTGGCCCCTCATGTCTGCAGGTTCCACATCTGCAGATTCAACCAACTGGGGAAGGAAAATGTTCACCAGAAAAATTTTCAGAAAGTTCCAAAGAGCGAAACTTGAATTTTTCATGTGCTGGCAACTATTACATAACATTCACATTGTATTAGGCATTATAAGTGATCTAGAGATATTTAATATATTTAAAGTGAATATGTGTAGGTTATATGCAAATAAAATAACATTTGGTGTCAGGGACTTGAGCATCCATAAAGTTTGGTATCCATAGGGATCTACCAAGGGACAACCATATATACCAGACTCTATTCTAGACCTTATTCTAAGCATATCATAAACAGAACAAACCAAACAAAAACAAAAAACAAAAGTAGTCCTGCCTTAATGACACTTACATACACTAAGTGCTCAATAATAGAAGCTGGTGCTTGATCTTGGAAATGTGAATCTGCTACCTCCACTAGCCTAATTCTTTGAATAAAACCAAGAAACAATAAGGCTAAACAACTTATTTGCCTTGAAACTTCAAAAGAAATTCAATGAGTTTAATGAAAATAAAGTAAACAAATTCTAAGTCTACTCAACTAGTTTATTTTGGTGCTGTAAAAAAGTAGTTGCTTCTTTTTCTTTTTTGCCAACTTCCTTTTCCCTTCCCCCTCATCTGCATCAGATTCTGTACTGCTGGCACAGGACCCTTTCCAGCTCATTCACAGATTGTTGTTGGTCCAAGAAAGAAGCATGTGACTCAAAAGTTTCTGGGATTTTTCACTTTTGGAGAAAAAGACTGTTTCCTCAGCGGTCTGTAAAGACATGAGCAAAGAGTTCTGAGGACCCACTGCATGGAGGAAGCTAATCTGAGACAATAAAACCAGTTCCTGGTTCCATCGAGTCCCTAACGGTGGTTCTCTCTCTAGGCTTTTACACACATAGATTACATGAGTCAATAAATCTCCTCTTTTTATTTACTTAAGCTACTTGATTGGATTTCTGTCACTGGCAATCAAAAGGATTGTAACCAATACTCTTAAAAAAGAAGACGTCTTTACAATGGGAAACACTGTTCTTGGGGAAGCTAGGAGTTTGAACCAGAGCTCAGCCATTTATTAGCTGGAAAATTATATCTCTCTGAGCCTCAATTTGCTGTTCTACAAGATAAAGATAATGATACTCTCCTTCCAGAGAGGCTGAGAGGAGATATCATACCTGGCATTCAATATGTGCTCAAAAATATGAAACTTCTACATATCTTTGACATCCAATTGCCTTTACCCTAAGATTTCCAACTACGCACATCTGTATTCACGGTTTAAGATTCTAGAGGCAAATATACACAACTTGTTTCATAAAGATGTTACTCCAGTCTTCACAAAATCCACTTAATGTTCTTTAAGTGACAGATAGCTTCTCAGAATTCAAATATGTAATTTTCAAAAAAAAAAATCCTTTCTCAGGAAAATGGTTTTATTTCATCCCTTCTATGGTCAATTCTTAATTGATTAAGACTTCATCAAGAAAAGAGGATGTTCCTATTAAAAATACTCCATTTTAAGAATTAGGCCCACCAATAGTAGTTCTCTAGTCTCTAATAATATTAATTTCTCTCTTCAACTAATAAACAATGTTCATGAACATACCTTTCCAATTTTTCAGATAGATTGTCAGCAGAATCAGAAGAAGAGATATGGTATATGTCTGACAATTCCAAGCGCTGCCTGTATCCTTTCTTCAAAATTGGTCTGGTCCAGCTAAAATAAAGAGAGGAGAAACAGATATAACTGTTAACTTGAACTCCAATGTAGACTTGAAATCAGATAAAGTTTCAAATTTTCTAGCATGTGGAAAAGAGCAGTGCATAAATAAGAGAATAAAGTAAGGCATATTCTATGAATATCAGAGATTCATATCTCACAGAACTCAACTGTATAAAACATCAACACCTCTGAACTGACATGACTATAGCTTTTTCTAAAAGGATTAGGGATGGTGGCAGAATCTTTCCCAGAGAAAAAAAACAAACTGCTAAACATTCTATACTAAAAGTATAAAAATATAAAAGGAAGGGAGGGAAGGAGAGAGGTGGGAAGAAATTTCCCTAAAATAACCAGATATTAAAAGTTTATGGTTTGCTGAAGTCCAGCCTCTACAAAATGATCTGTGAATGATAAAACAGACCCTCAAACAACACCCAACATATCATAGCACACAATCCTCAGCAATGTGCTGTTTGTGGAATGAACTAACTATAGCTGGAGGGCTAATGAGTAGTATGTGTCAATTTGTTGACTTAATCATCACCCCTGAATGAGGGTGGGGATCATAATTTTCTTGTGTTTTGTCTCCTCATCTCACAACAGTTACGCACTTTGGCCTGCTACATATCTAATAAATAACAATTTATGATGGAAGCTGGCCTGGTAAACAACGAGGCAGGATACTGCAGTTATTTTCAAATACATTGTTTCTAACTATTGTGAACAAGGCAAAATAATCTTCACAGAGAGACTTTCCAGGTGGCTCAATGGTAAAGAATCTGCCTGCCAATGCAGGAGGTGTTTTTAATCCCTGGGTGGAGAAGATTCCCTGGAGAAGGAAATGGCAACTCACTCCACTCTTCTTGTCTGAGGAACCCAATGGACAGAGGAGTTACAGTCCATGGGGTTGCAAAGAGTCAGACACAACCTAGCAAATAAACAACAACAATCTTCACAGAGGCAAGAAAATCTAAAAACAAATCAAAGAAAAGGGAAAACAAAGAGGAAGAAGGGAGGGGCAGGAGAACTGTTAAAGAAATTATGTACAAAAAGATTTCTAAATTAAAGTTGTTGGGCAAATGAGACCTTTCTCATGTGAAATGTCATGTATTTATTAACAAAACAAATTGAAGTTGGAATTGGTGATTCTCAACATATGTTTAACTCTTGCTATCTTTCTTTTCTTCAGAGAGCTCTAAAATTTGGTGTCACTGAGAATTTGGTAATATATCAAGGCACGCCACCCACCAAAAATCAAGAGAGTGTTTTAGCAGTATCTGAGAGACCAAATAAACTCATGACAGAAAAGTATTCTAGCAAAGCCATTCTGAATAAAAAGAGGAAATGCTACGCCAAATGCAAACATTTTTGACGTTGTTTCAGGGCAAAGCTGCAAAAGGCTCTTATGTCTACCTTCACCACTCCCACCCAAGGGGTCCAGATTCTTGTTTATACTTCCCTGGTCCTCACCCCTTCCCTGTGTTCCTGGCATATCTACAACTTGTCCTTCCTTAAAATTCAACTGAATTACAACCCAGCTCAAAGGTTCAGGAGTTTCCCCAACCATTTCTGACCAAAATATCAACAAGTGACAATGGCTTAATATGTCAGGTTTTTTTCCTTTTTACTTGCAATGTTTGCATCTTAACAAGAACCTTCAAATCTCAACAAAGGATGAGATAGTAAGGTTCATCTTTATTGCCCATTGTGATCCATTGGCAGCTTTTCAAAGAGAACAAGAATGAAAACATTGAGGACAGTCTGAACACAGTAAAGAAGTCCCATACAGTGGGCATTGTCAGAGAGAGTGGGACACACCCACACGGAGCTTGCCATCCAGTAGCCAACATAAGCATTGGAGCCACACTTGCTGACACAGGGTCAGTGAGGGTGTGAAAAATCTGGGGCAGCAATTTTAGGACATAAACTCTACTCTGTTATTTATAAGCCTTTGTAAACTAAAGTCAATAAGTGAAAAGGTGAAGCAAGTGTTTACCACTAAGAAAAAAAAATATGTGTGTACAGCACTTTCACAAACATTAGCACATTGTCATTTTAATTCAAAATCTTGATAGGTAGGCAGAATAAAAATAGATGACTGCCTTACTTTAAGCATAAAGGAATGGAGGTGCAAAGATGTTAAATTTGTTACTAACTGGCAAAAACTATATTTTACCACATTATTCTGACATCACTCCTTCCTTTACCATGTTCAGCTTTTATTGCCTCGGAAAAGTAAGCTTGGTGGGTTATTCTGGACAGAGTGCTGGAAGGAGGGTCTAGAAGCAGGGAAACCAAAAGCTGGCAAACTGCAGGCAATGATACGGTGTGCTAGCATGTCTTTTACCCATGCCTTCTTCAGAAAAACAAAAAGTGACTTATGGCATTAGCCAGTTTCTGTGCTGTAAATACTCCAAGCCATCAAACGTGAAGTCACTGAACACCAAGTTCAGGGAAGAGATACACAGTTGCATATCATAAAATAGTGCGATTACCATTCAGATACAATCAACTAACCTCAATAGCATAGATAATAACAAATAGGCTGCAATAACTTTTGTTTTTATTATCTTTATTTAACATAATTTACTTAATTGTAGGTTTAACTCAATTAATTTTTAATACTAGTTGTGCTTAACAACCAGCTCACAAAGTCCCTGAAAATTTAACAATCAGCTCAACCAGAAAAGGACTAACTTGACCTTGCGGGTTCAATCTCTGGATCAGGAAGATCTCTTGGAGGAGAAAATGGCAACCCACTCCTCTAATCTTACCCAGAAAATCCCATGGACAGTGGAGCCTGGTGGGCTGCAGTCCATGAGGTCGCAAAAGAGTTGGATAGACTGAGCTACTAAACAACAGCAGCAAAAAATGGAAAATTTAGAAGAGAAAAATATACTCCCTCTACTGTTAAAACTTTCATTTTCAGTATTTTTTTTTTTAGATATTTGAAATACAACTTTATTCTGATTCTAAACGAAAAGGAATGGGAATGACAGTAACAAACAAGATTCCACCTCTCAATATTGTCATGTGACTATAGCAGTCTTATATTTGAAACTCAAGGAGGAAACAACTGTGTTCCAAAACACCTAAATATGCAGGTCCAAAAAATGAAGGTTTTTTTTTTTTTAAACTGCCACATTCACTCCAAAGCCCATCCATCTCCTTCAGCATCCAAAGATTAAGCACATGTTCTGCTTAGCTATATAATAAAGTGGCAAACACGCTGCACCACTGACATCACAGGACAGTTGCCTATAAAACTAGACTTCTGACACTGGGCCCCAGCTTAACTTTCTCACAGGTCATCATCTTCATCCGGGAGAGCAGTTGTCTGAGCAACCTCTAAATCGTGCTCGTACTGTGCTGCCAAGGCTGGGTCCATGACCACCTCTGGCGGGGCAAGAGCAGGCATGGCGACAAACTCCAAGTTAGGGTCTCCAATCAATTTTCTAGCAAGCCAGAGGAAGGGCTTTTCAAAGTTGTAGTTACTTTTGGCAGAAATGTCATAGTACTGAAGATTTTTCTTTCGGTGGAAGACAATTGACTTTGCCTTAACCTTTCTGTCCTTAATATCCACTTTGTTGCCACACAACACAATTGGGATGTTCTCACACACTCGTACCAGATCTCTATGCCAGTTAGGCACATTCTTGTAAGTAACTCTTGATGTTACATCAAACATTATAATGGCACATAGAGCTTGTATATAATAGCCATCTCTCAGTTCACCAAATTTCTCCTGACCAGCTGTATCCCATACATTGAACTTAATAGGTCCTCTGTTGGTATGGAACACAAGAGGATGGACCTCAACACCCAAGGTAGCTACATACTTCTTCTCAAATTCACCAGTCAGATGACGCTTCACGAATGTAGTTTTTCCAGTACCACCATCACCAACCAAAACAAGTTTGAACTGAACTTGGGGTTCTCCTTGGGCAGCCATCGCGACGTTACTTCCAGAAGCGTCTCCGCGCCCATCTGTCTGTCATTTTCAGTATGTTTAAAATTGTTAAAATATGAAACTAAATTTACAAATAAAGAGAATCTAACTGTAAATATTAAAATATCATAGACATTTGCAGGAAGTTTAAAAACAAATTCTTTCTTTCAAAAACTAATGAACATACATCTTTTGGTCCATATCTAAGACCTGATCACCAATTCCATAAATGAGTTTCTAGCGCATTTTAAAGTAACACAATTTGAGGGCTACATTTATAAAAAGCTTCCTTGTGTTATCTGTGCCCATTTTAATACATATATTATAACATGACCTTTAGTCTTGATTATAAAGAGCTCCACAGCCCAGTACCATCAAATCAAACATATTCAGTAGCATTAAGAGTTAACCATTAATAATGATTAATACAGTTTAGTGTTTCTGACAGATTCACTACACTAAACCTATATTCATAACTTGAAACAGAAATTTAAGGTTAATTATGAAACGTAAAATCAGTTAACCTTAGGCTGCCTGGTAATTACCAGTTAACTGAAAGAATTTATTTTGTGAGATTAAGCCAAAAACAATTGAACAAAATCTCTGCTCCATCATGGAGGTCTCCCTGACTACCTCAAGCCAATCCTAGAAATAAAAATAAAAACAAGCAAACAAAAAAGTCCCAGTTATCTATATCTAGACACTCAATGAAATATTAGTTACTGTAAAACTCCAGCCACTGTTTCTTTTGAATAAGCTTGAGTACATTCAACATACTTGGATGGAATTTAGGATGACAACTCAGAATACCTACTTCAATATTTTTTCCATTAAAAAATGAATGAGCATGCAGGTGTTTCATAATAGCAAGGCAGGTACACCTGCAATAACCAAAAGCAATAAACCCTGTTCTTCCTCATCTTCCTCAAACTTGCTCTCACCATCCCTCCCCCTCACCTCTAACTGATCTTATCCTTTTTTATTCATAACCTGTAACTGCATATTGAAAATGGATTTATAAATTGAGCTTAGAAACTGTGACAGT